GATGGATGGATGGATGGATGGATTCAATAAAAAAATGCCATGTTGGATGTCGCAGTTACGACGCAGAGGCACAAGCCGAAGATGTAATCTGTTCTGTCCCAATTCTCTTTTTTTTTGCATACTTGTAACCTGCGCACTCGAACACTTCTGTGCACTTGGACTGAATCCACTCTTCAGAGGGGCGTAGGGTGGGCACTGAGCGTTGGGACTGGGCCTTCGATGTTTGAGTTCCTCTCACGAAAAATGGGAGCAAAAACAAAAGTGCTGCGTTTCTATTTTTGTTCAGTAAATAACAATAAAATGTTAGTGGAAATTGTTTAACACTGATTTCACACTCAGAACGTGAGCTAAATAATAAAACTGTATTGGTGACATTTTTTAACATTTTATTTTTGCCCCATAGACACCAGGTCCCGTCATCCAGGAGGAATAAATTGGGTTTTAGTGACCAAAGTTCTGATCATCTTTTTAAACAACTACATTCAAATATTCAGGAACATCTGGTACTAAATGGAAGTTTTAAAAACAAAAAGTGAATAAAAAGGATTATCCTTCAAACAACTGGTTTTGTTTTCATCTTTATTATTATTTTCCATTAAAACAGGGTTTATTGCACCAACAAATACAGCATTAATCAACGTTTCTGGATTAAAACGATCCATTCTGTTTACGTTTCACATTACAGATATTTAGATTAACATTCACAGTTTTTATTTACCATAGCACCGATGTTTTCAACAAGTTCCTCAACGATTTACTGATGTAAGAGTTTAACAGTTAACCTTCAGCTCAATGAATTCAAGGGTTTTTCTGCTACGTGATGAGATCAGACGGTTGTTGTGGAGACAGTGGATGAGAAACTCGTCGAGTTGAAGATCTCTTTGTTCCTGGGGTTAAAAAAGAATAAAGTTAGATAATTAGATGGAGGTGGAGGAAGCAGAAATCAACAGAGCTGTTTGTTTGCTATGTGGTGGTCAGGGGATGTAAAATAAAAAAGAGGTTTGGAGTCAATTTAAATGAGATTTTACCATTTTTCACAAGAACAGTTGGCGAACTGTTGCTCCTGCTTTTCCACAGGATATTCTTTGGACACAACAACAAATCAATAAACAAATCAGCTGTTGCTTCATGTAACACTTTTATGCTGAATTTAAAGCATCGACTTTAAAAATTAAGAGTAAATTTGGGGGTTGATGCTTGTATTTCTACATCTCCATGACCACCGACATAAATCTGATAGACGAGTCGGGGATTAATCAAATCTCAGGGCTCTTACTCGTCGAACGACTTGAGGAGTTCTGGGAACCACTTGGCGTCGGGGCTGACGCAAACCTTGGTGCCGTTCTTCCTGTAGATGCTGCGGAGAAACAGACGTTTTAAAGGTCGTTACTGCGTTCATCTCATCTCGCACTCAGCTGCGCAGAGATATTAACGTTTTTTAATAAAACACGTACATTCTCTCGACCTTGCGACACCGTCCGGACGGCGGTGTCACCATGACGCTGGACACGACGCTCGGGTGGACGGGAGGAGAGACGAGAGAGGGAAGTTTGCAGCGGCATCCATATCTGGAGGCTGCGGAAAAGAAAACTTCTTAAAACCACGATTGTTTTTAAATTTAATCCAAGTAAATTAATGAATAAATTTATTGTAAAAGAAGAAATCAGTGTCCTCTCACCGTTCAGAGCAGTGATGCAGCAGCAGAGCGTCAGAGCAGCCAGCAGGACCAGAGCTTTATTCATCTTCTTCTCTGTTACTTTGATTGTTCGACAGCAACGGTGAGTGAGTGAGTGAGTGAGTGAGTGAGTGAGTGAGTGAGTGAGTGAGTGAGTGAGTGAGTGAGTGAGTGAGTGAGTGAGTGAGTGAGTGAG